TGTAAGTGGGCTGTGACAGCTGTATGGCTAAGTGGAAGCATCTCTGGACTCTTGTTCACAACAGCCACATTCTCTCTCACATTCTGTAGAACCACAGTAATCCACCAGTTCTTCTGTGATGTCCCTCAGTTGATAAAGCTCTCCTGCTCCAATGACTATCTTGGAGTTGTTGGAGTGAACGCTTTCATGGCTATGATGGCATTGATCTGCTTCACCTCCATTGTCCTTTCCTACATCCACATCTTCTCCACAGTTCTTAGAATACCCTCTTCTGCGGGCCGATCCAAAGCCTTTTCCACCTGCCTGCCCCACCTCTTTGTTGTCTCATTTTTTCTCTCCACAGGTATCTTTGAGTTTCTCAAACCAACTTCAGATTCTCCAACAGTTTTTGACCTGATGGTTTCTATCTTTTATACAGTAATACCCCCAACTCTCAACCCTGTTATCTATAGCCTCAGGAATGAGGTCATGAAAGAAGCTTTCAGAAAGTTAGTGTTAGGTGGAGAATTCACCAGGAAAAAAATATTTTTGTCCTGTTGTTGATGGCTGGAAAATATTACATGCAGTGAACATGTTAAAGAATATTGAGTTCCTGCAATATGTGGTATTAAGGGAAAGCAATAACACATTTTTTTTCCTTGTGGATTAATCATGCATTACAGCCATTGTCATTAGGGAAATACTTCATTTTCCAAGTGAAGAGAAAATAAACAAGTATAGCATTTTATTGTATGTATACTACTCTCTTTTCCTTCCCAACGCATGTGAACACAGACATAAACACATACATAGAAACACTATCAATTATAAGCACATTTTTCCCCTCTGAGTAGGCAATATTACAACAAAGAAGGGATAAAACAGTAATAATTTACCCACAGTTACCACAACTAAACAAACCAACTATTTTTACATCATTTGGTTAATTCTTATCTTTATACATATCACTTTTGTATATTGATTCAAGGATCCCTGGTGCAACAATTGAGCAATTGGCTACTAACCACAAGACTGGCAGTACAAACACACCCAGTAGCTGTGCAGGGAAAAGGGGACAATCTGCTTTTGTAAAGATTCTGGTCTGGAAAACCCTATGATGCAGTTCTACTCAGTCACTTAGGGTCCCTATAAGTTGAGAATTAACTCAGCTGTACTCAACAACAATGTGCAACTACATAGCCTACTTTTATAATGTTCATGGATGCATGACATTCAATGAAATTCATATCATAATACAATAAAGCCTACAAAACCTGGAAACTGTGTAACTCATGTTAGAGAATGAAAGTCAATTATTTTCCACTAAAAAAAAGCAATAGATAAGTGATAAGACTTCACTCTGTCAGAGGCACAAAACCTGACAGACTTGGGAGAACAAGGCAGTTCCATTAAGTTCCATTTCTCACAAGTTTCACTGTACATTTAGACATTCATCTATTATTACAATTTCCAATTTTTAAATCTAATAAAGAAGGCTGAAAATGAAAGGTCTGCTCTTCATAATTCCAAAGAATAAGGTTGTTGAATAAAACTGCATAGAATGTTCAAGTCTCTTGAACATGTGAGACCATATTGTTTTCCAACAGTATTGAACTATTTTATGCAGCCACTAGTCTATGGACCTGTGTGTTCACCTACATGTTTCATATGATTTTATTCACTTACACAAAAATTGTTTATAGAGAACCTCTGAGGTGACTGACATAACACTAGATGTCTGCCATGCAAAAGCGTACAATATATACACAGTATTGTATATTGTAGAGATTTTTAATTTTTGTCATGTTTATGGTAGCAAAATTTTACTGTTTATACTTTTAAAAATTTCATGACAGCTCCAGGAATGAAATGTGATTAAAATATTTATGTATTTATTTTTCATATTATCCACTTAAATTTATATATTTTTAT